TACCTGATATAGAGTTTATAAAAGGAATACCAACTGAAGAAATGATAAGCAACTTGACGGGTGAGACACCAGTGATATTTGTTTTAGACGACCTTGGAATACAGATTGCCGCTAGCAAATATCTCACGTCCTTATTCATAATGGGAACACACCACCTTAAGGTAAGGTGGATTGATAAGCGTTTTCTTATGTAATAATTTAAATAATCCTCTAAAAAAGACCATTATAATTTAAACCGAATGCTGATTAGCAACAATAATCAAATTACGACGCCCGTTTCTACTCTTTAAATGTCCCAAAACCAAATTAAAAAATAAAATAATGTACAGTTAATGCGAAATAAACATTTAAATGATTTCAGATAACTGTGTTGATGGTAGTACACAATCTGTTTGAAAGAAATATGAGGACAATATCCTTGAACATACAATATATTGTCCTCTTCAAAAATCTTAGAGACAACACAAGTATAAATGTCTTATCAAGACAGATTATGCCCTGGAATGCAAAGGGCTTGATTAAGGCGTATAACGATGCGGTCTCGGAAAAATATGGATATTTGATTATTGATTTGCATGTTAAATCTGACCCCTCTCAAAAGTTACGAAGTAAAATCTTTCCGGGGGAAAACTGCGTGATATATAACTCCGCCTAATTTGCATGTTTCATCATAAACTTAGAGGATCGAAATGAGTAAGGTCGTGCTAAGCAATTTGGATTATTTGAACTTATTAGCAAAAACTACTTCCAAGGTTCAAAGAACTGCCTTGTTGAACACCGCTACAAAGGAACAATTACAGTCAATAGGGGAAATTTGTAAAAACTTAATTTTCGGAGTTATTCCATTGAAACGGGACCAACTCAAAGAGCTGTATCCGTATAGAAACACCTACGAACTGTTGGGAGATAAAAGACCTAGTAAACGAGCAAAGAGGGAGACGCTATTATCAAAACAATCAGCTGTAACAAAATTGTTGAAACACGTTTTACCAAAAATAAAATGAGTTTCAAAAGTATCCTCATGCCGGTAGAACAGCTGAAGGCGTTAGAGAAAGAGAATGATAGCGTACAAAAAGAGCAGGACGAGATCGAAGACACCAAACGAGAAAATACGGAGCCTTCGAAAAAAGACATTGTTTTAGTTCCAGCCGAAAAGCTAGCCATGATGGAGAAACAAAGAAATGATAACGCAGAGCTTAAACCTAAAAATCATAGTAATGTTAAATCAAATCTAAAATCCGAAAGCGTCGTTCGTGATAATGATGACAATATCAAAGTAAAAGTGTCTTTGTCAGAAAAATCGGGGGAAAAAGATGATACTTCAGAAGACGAAACCAATGTGGAAGATATGTTTGTACCCAAGCCGCCCGGTAATAGAAGGTTCAAGACAACCAATCTTAAACAGAGACAAAGCACACAAAGGGGCGGGGTTTTAAAAGGGTCTAGTAAACGTAAGATGTCATTGGCTAGATTATGGCTTACTTTGTGATTGGATTTTCATATAACTGACTTCCTTAGTCCATAATAATCACAAATAACAGAATAACGTATAAAGATTCACGTATAATCAGCAGTTTATCGAAAAAAATTGTAAGATGGCCACCAACGATGTCCAGACTTTGGGAAATTACTTATGCAGCGAAACCTTTAATGTAGAAGTTAAACAGGGAAAATTTCCAAAGCCGTATATTGTTTTGAGGCAAACAGAATACAGTGATGAAAAACTCGCTTTTACAAGCAACTCCGTTTTGCTATCTTCTACTCAATTTGCCGAATTACGTCAAGCTATTGGAGAAATACAGTCTAAGTACGAAACGCTACTGCAAAGCAGCGAGAGGCACGACAAATTAATTGTTTTGAAAGATGTCATTTGGGTAAAGATAACGAAAGGGCAAGAAAATAATTACATTGTAATACATAAAACGAGTACCGACAAGAAAAAGGAAAATGTTCAACTGATGTGGAAAGAATGGGAACGTTTTTTAACAGTTGTCCCTCGCATAAGTGAATCTATCAGATCGCTCGCCTTTAAGGCCAGACAAGTTAAATTAGGAAAGGCAGTTTCACTATTCTAACATTGCACATTTTGGACAAAGATTGGACAGTTTTATTTTTTGCACTAAAACATTTTAAAATATTCTCTTACTTTAGATTAGTATTCGGGTATCTGGGTATATGTGTAAAATGAGATTAAATATTCAGTCAATGCGGCAACACTAAAAAATGCTTACTAGATTAATACAATTAAATAAGGAATACTTGAAGGGATTTAAAGATCTTATTCATTGACGAAAAAATGTGCATTGTCAAAAAGACCAACAATTGTTTGACAGGAAGTCTATTATGCTAGAATGATAATCCAATATTTTGGTACCATGACAATATTTTACACAATATTTTCGTACAAAATGTACTCAATAGATAAAACATGAGCTGAAATAAGATTAAAAAACATTCGACAATAGTGGGAGCCTATACAAACCGCTTTAAATTATCAAAAATGAATGGCATGTAAGTTAACAAAAGATGAGAAATATTTTAGGGGATTTAAAGATTTTATTTTATCGTTCCCGAATTGACATGTCTGAAAAATTAACTTCACAACATGGGTATTATCAAAGAACAACATTTGTTTGAGGGAAAAGTCCATTATGATAGGATGTTAATCCAATTTTTTTGATGCCATGACAATATTTTGCAACAACACCATCACAGCAATTTGTTATGTTTTTCTCATTTGATCAAGATACATAACACAAATACAGTACACACAATACAGTACACACGTAGCACAAGTTGCAATTACACGTTTTAAAGATTTCACACATAAACTGTAATATATTCAAGTTTTTTTTGTTTTGTTCTAATAAGCGTTTGAAATGGAATCAAACACATTCGAAATAAACGAGGAGATGTCTGTCGATGTGACAGCATTCAAAATGCCCACTAGTGTCATTCTAAGAAACAATAAATTTGAGACAGTATTATTCACAAAGGAAGAATGGAGTCAGATTTTGTCTTTGAGTGAGAGCATGATCAATTTGATGAATGACATCAAAGTATCAGATGGCGACTGGATGTTTGAAATATCCCAAACAAGATCTATCGTGTTCCGATTATACAAAGACAAAGGAGGCAAAGTGAACCTCAATTTTAGACTGCCAGACTGTGAAACTTTGCCACGCATTAGTTTTGAGGTATCTTTCGAATCATGGAGGCGTTTGCTGAGTATACGAAACGATATAAGTAACGTTTTAAAAGATGACTGCTTAAAAAGAAAAAGGGAAGACGAATCTATCAAAATATTTAAATTCAAAAGGCAAAAGCGCTGGTTTTTGTCGAAGGAAGCTTGCAGGGATTTTGCAGTTCGGGATGGTATAGATCTATCCGAGGCGGGAGAAATGCACGAGAAACGTCGAGCACCAGACAGCCCTAAAGAGATGTTAAAGATAACGTATGTTAATGCCCTAGAAGATAAAATACTAAGTTTGGCGACCAAAGAATGCTACGGGTGTCAGGTACTGAATAATAATTACTCTATCTCTATGACAGTATTGATTGACTAAAATTACTGTATTTAGTATAAGGTATTAAACAAACAAATAATCGTAGTATGTCAGTACGCATTTGTACAATCAGTAACATTTAAATCAATACAAAATTGGCAACTGATTTGGATAACCAATAGCTAGGTAAATCAGTTTGGGTATTGGCGCCATCTTTAAATCAATTTGTTTTTTTCCATTTCTAATCAAACCATATTATTTTTTGTGCTTTACAGGTCGATCATCCTTCGAAAAAAGAACATTTTCACTGTCTGGCCCCATGGCAGGAGGTCGTACACCTTTACTTTGAAAAAGCTGTGGACAGCGTCACGAAGGAGGAGGTTGCCGACTTGTACCAAGCATTGTGTTCTAGAATAAACATTTCTCCTATCTCGGACTGTCTAGCTTCAATTGAAAGGATTGTCTTCATGTTTTCTTCGATGAAAACGTATTTGAACGAACTCGTGTTGGGAAAATTTAAGGATCTCAATACTATGAATTACGAATTCAATTATTTAGACTAAAAAATGAAACAGTTATGTTACGAAACCATCAATTACGTTTTAAGCAAGGGTTTTTAAAAGGGTCTAGTAAACGTAAGATGTCATTGGCTAGATTATGGCTTACTTTGTGATTGGATTTTCATATAACTGACTTCCTTAGTCCATAATAATCACAAATAACAGAATAACGTATAAAGATTCACGTATAATCAGCAGTTTATCGAAAAAAATTGTAAGATGGCCACCAACGATGTCCAGACTTTGGGAAATTACTTATGCAGCGAAACCTTTAATGTAGAAGTTAAACAGGGAAAATTTCCAAAGCCGTATATTGTTTTGAGGCAAACAGAATACAGTGATGAAAAACTCGCTTTTACAAGCAACTCCGTTTTGCTATCTTCTACTCAATTTGCCGAATTACGTCAAGCTATTGGAGAAATACAGTCTAAGTACGAAACGCTACTGCAAAGCAGCGAGAGGCACGACAAATTAATTGTTTTGAAAGATGTCATTTGGGTAAAGATAACGAAAGGGCAAGAAAATAATTACATTGTAATACATAAAACGAGTACCGACAAGAAAAAGGAAAATGTTCAACTGATGTGGAAAGAATGGGAACGTTTTTTAACAGTTGTCCCTCGCATAAGTGAATCTATCAGATCGCTCGCCTTTAAGGCCAGACAAGTTAAATTAGGAAAGGCAGTTTCACTATTCTAACATTGCACATTTTGGACAAAGATTGGACAGTTTTATTTTTTGCACTAAAACATTTTAAAATATTCTCTTACTTTAGATTAGTATTCGGGTATCTGGGTATATGTGTAAAATGAGATTAAATATTCAGTCAATGCGGCAACACTAAAAAATGCTTACTAGATTAATACAATTAAATAAGGAATACTTGAAGGGATTTAAAGATCTTATTCATTGACGAAAAAATGTGCATTGTCAAAAAGACCAACAATTGTTTGACAGGAAGTCTATTATGCTAGAATGATAATCCAATATTTTGGTACCATGACAATATTTTACACAATATTTTCGTACAAAATGTACTCAATAGATAAAACATGAGCTGAAATAAGATTAAAAAACATTCGACAATAGTGGGAGCCTATACAAACCGCTTTAAATTATCAAAAATGAATGGCATGTAAGTTAACAAAAGATGAGAAATATTTTAGGGGATTTAAAGATTTTATTTTATCGTTCCCGAATTGACATGTCTGAAAAATTAACTTCACAACATGGGTATTATCAAAGAACAACATTTGTTTGAGGGAAAAGTCCATTATGATAGGATGTTAATCCAATTTTTTTGATGCCATGACAATATTTTGCAACAACACCATCACAGCAATTTGTTATGTTTTTCTCATTTGATCAAGATACATAACACAAATACAGTACACACAATACAGTACACACGTAGCACAAGTTGCAATTACACGTTTTAAAGATTTCACACATAAACTGTAATATATTCAAGTTTTTTTTGTTTTGTTCTAATAAGCGTTTGAAATGGAATCAAACACATTCGAAATAAACGAGGAGATGTCTGTCGATGTGACAGCATTCAAAATGCCCACTAGTGTCATTCTAAGAAACAATAAATTTGAGACAGTATTATTCACAAAGGAAGAATGGAGTCAGATTTTGTCTTTGAGTGAGAGCATGATCAATTTGATGAATGACATCAAAGTATCAGATGGCGACTGGATGTTTGAAATATCCCAAACAAGATCTATCGTGTTCCGATTATACAAAGACAAAGGAGGCAAAGTGAACCTCAATTTTAGACTGCCAGACTGTGAAACTTTGCCACGCATTAGTTTTGAGGTATCTTTCGAATCATGGAGGCGTTTGCTGAGTATACGAAACGATATAAGTAACGTTTTAAAAGATGACTGCTTAAAAAGAAAAAGGGAAGACGAATCTATCAAAATATTTAAATTCAAAAGGCAAAAGCGCTGGTTTTTGTCGAAGGAAGCTTGCAGGGATTTTGCAGTTCGGGATGGTATAGATCTATCCGAGGCGGGAGAAATGCACGAGAAACGTCGAGCACCAGACAGCCCTAAAGAGATGTTAAAGATAACGTATGTTAATGCCCTAGAAGATAAAATACTAAGTTTGGCGACCAAAGAATGCTACGGGTGTCAGGTACTGAATAATAATTACTCTATCTCTATGACAGTATTGATTGACTAAAATTACTGTATTTAGTATAAGGTATTAAACAAACAAATAATCGTAGTATGTCAGTACGCATTTGTACAATCAGTAACATTTAAATCAATACAAAATTGGCAACTGATTTGGATAACCAATAGCTAGGTAAATCAGTTTGGGTATTGGCGCCATCTTTAAATCAATTTGTTTTTTTCCATTTCTAATCAAACCATATTATTTTTTGTGCTTTACAGGTCGATCATCCTTCGAAAAAAGAACATTTTCACTGTCTGGCCCCATGGCAGGAGGTCGTACACCTTTACTTTGAAAAAGCTGTGGACAGCGTCACGAAGGAGGAGGTTGCCGACTTGTACCAAGCATTGTGTTCTAGAATAAACATTTCTCCTATCTCGGACTGTCTAGCTTCAATTGAAAGGATTGTCTTCATGTTTTCTTCGATGAAAACGTATTTGAACGAACTCGTGTTGGGAAAATTTAAGGATCTCAATACTATGAATTACGAATTCAATTATTTAGACTAAAAAATGAAACAGTTATGTTACGAAACCATCAATTACGTTTTAAGCAAGGGTGAGAATGTGTATAAATCTTATTTCATTTGAAACTGATCAAAAAACATAAAAAAACAATGATTTTTTATGGTATCATTTAATATATTGTCTATTGTATAAACATGTTGTTATTGCTGTGTTTGGATACATAATCAATTAACGTATATGTTGTATATATTTTCTTTCCGACTACATGTAGAAGATTGTAGAATGATAAATATACTACATAGATTTTGTTATGTAAAAGTCCTGGTTTTGTTAGTTCAACGGTTATCAAATATCAACTGTGCCATAAGACCTGGATGAAAAGTCCGGTAACAGCACGCGTTTGTCAAATACAACTCTATATTCTTTGCTAGCCGGTCTTGTGGTGATTTCCATAGTTCTCGTGTCTCTATCATGGATGCTATACGGCTCCACCACCAATTGATTGTTGTCACCAATGCCCGTAATCATGGACATAAGATTATATGGATTTACTACTTGTACTGTCCTACTGTTACTGATATCACGTTGAGTTAATGGATATTTGATTATCATTTTAAGAGATAGAGAGGAAGTCTAGGTCTAAGAACAAAACTCACACATGAGGCAGATTATTTTCTTTCTTTTTTATTAACCAAAACGTTTATTATAAAAGACACGATCAAATTACAACAATTCAATACAGTAAATATACGAATTTATTCATTGACTCCGTAATTACATCGCGTAAATTATAATGTTAATTGAATTGAAGTGTATGGAGATGCAGTAGAAATCGTATATCATAATATATTTTAAGTCAAAATGTAATATATCTCAAATATCGAGGGCTCTTTGGTTATGATACATTTCTGAAACGTCAATGCATTCTTTATAGTTTGGTGAAAAAAACAAATCAACTTCTGCTTAAAAACTCGTTTCATAAACATAAAGTCCCACTTGCTGCGTACTCCTATCAGAGCTTGGCATGGTCCCCAATTCCACTTCATTATTTTCACCTACATGGAGAACGTTAGAATTACGACTCCACAGCTTGCGTAATTTTGGGTGAAAAATGCACGATATAGCCAAGATAATAAGTCCAACAACGACAATTCCAACGGATATTCCAATTGCAATTGGCAGTTGAAGCGATTGGGTCGTTATTACATTCGCACTTGTCCCATTATAATGGAGGGAATACGCTTCCTGGGTTGAAGATAAATACATTGGACTGTTGGAACCTTCAATTATAGTAGCATTAGTCAGGATATTTATGCGGGTAGATGTTAAACCGTTTGCATTGTCAGTTGACATATTTGGGGAGTTTGTGCAACAGTTACCGTTTGCAGTCACTCGAGCCGACGAAGTAAAACCCACCGTAGTTGCATCCTCCCCACCCGTGAAGCCCGTGAGGCTATATAGGGTGTAATCAGACGTGGCGTCCTGGTTTTGTTCTATAGTAACGCTGTAATTTACGTTTATTTCACCTATGAGAACAAAGAAAGAATATGTACAACGAACTCATAACATCTGCTGAACACTACATTATTTTGAAATTTAACATTCAAAAAGATAAAGACACATCTCTCTCTGTGTGTAACTGTAACTTAGAATTCAGTTAAAATTGATAAGTTATGTTGTGAAGGATTCTCCCCCCCCCCCTCTCCCATTTCCCCTTCTCTTAAATGATCATTACCATGATGAAATTACCTGAAGTTGTCGTCATATAATCAATGAGGCAGTTTCCACCGATAATCTCAAGCGAGTTTGACTGAATAATGTTCGCACATTCCTCTATTTGTAAACAAGTCGCAATAATTCCTCCATCGGGATAATATGTACACTCACAAGAATCACATGATTTATTGTTGCATATGCATTTCTCACCCATTGCCGCTACCACAAACAAGGAACCCAAGACAATCGTAAACACTACGTTTTCCATATTATTTTGTCTTTCTTGGACTTCTGATACTGTGTTTATCTACTAAAGTGTTAGCCTACTATTGTGTACTAATTTTACATTGCATTGTTGGATTGATTGTAGATAAATTAATAATCGGACAGATTGGAAATTAGCGATTGGAAGTTGAATGAGAGCCCATGTATTTCAGGCTCTTATGATTCCTCACGTTTCCGTTAAGATTTTATACACATGATTAATAATGATCATCACTTTAAGACATGATAATGTAATAAGTAGTGTCGAACCAACAAAACGCAGATCTATGCATGTAAGCTCTCTATATATTTTCAACTTCTTCTTTCCCTATTTACACTAAAATAAATACACAAAATACATACACAAAACATTTTACAATTAATCAATGCCCCTGGCATATAGCAGACACGGTGTAACAAGTTTAAACATCTTGCACCAGAGACCTCATCCAGGTACCGTGAATGCTATAGCCTTAGAAGTTTGCAATCTCCGAATCTGTAAAGGCGTCGCGTTGTCTCTGTCAATGTTTGTTTTCGAATTAAAACGTTTCATCTTGCCCGGAACACAATCGACCCGCTTCGAAGGCATCAAGATAACCCTTGGACAAGATTCACATTGCGTAATAATTTTACCCATCCCCGAATCCCTGGTGACAAGTAAGGTTTCCTCCAATATTTTGTCATTAGGAGAGCATCGTACGACCTAAGAACATGTCTTTGTTAAGGATTGTTTTGGGTATAATCTTGAGCCTGAGTGTTTCTTATGGATTACAATGTGTTTGCGAACCGACTGTGATATGCGAAAATGCCTGCAGATGTTGGGGAAAGAAGGGAACCGCGAGCTTCGGGGCCTTCTGTCACCCATCTAGATATTGCACATTTGTGCTGGGACAAGTACATCTTGGAAACTGCGCGACAGGTATTTACATATGTGTACTTTAAGCATTTTTTAAACCTAGATACCGGCATACAGGGCGATCATGCAATTCGTTCACCTTACTTAATTAATCTGTAACATATTGACGAGATTAAGGGTCAAGTTTCACTAGAATTACAAAGACACCATCGACAATAGTAATTATCTTCATACTTCCTGTTAATAATATCGTACAATATAAATCGAACTGGTGCTATTTATCATCAGTCTTAAACACAGGTGAATTCCGATTTAACATATGTGAGGAGATTTGAATCTTATTATCATCATATTGATAGGGTAGTTGTTTATTTAAGTCCCGTTATCAGTAACAAATACGTCACTTTACAGTTTCCGCATCCCCATATACGACGACGACTTCAATAATTCAGCGAGGGGGAGGGGTAACGGACACTTCGGATGAAGAATCTGTGCTACTCTTGACGATACAAATTGCTTTACCCAGCACAGGGTTGTTAGCCACCATCACAGGTAAAGTAGATAGGTTCTCCAAACGTTAAAATATAGAATATATTTAAGGGATAAACATTGTTAAGTAAAATACATCTACATAATGAGAATATGAGAGCTCAAAAGAACAATATACATAAGCTTTTACTTTGGTCTAATTGTATTGACTTCTTATTTTTGGTTAATTTTGTAACTGTAGGATTGTTAATATGGTTAAGAGGAAAGTTCCGAAAAGCAGCTGAAAATCAAGTCGAGGACGTAGAGATGAATTCTGTAAATTCCGATTCCTCTCATCATTCTTCAGAGCCGCTGTCGATAACAAGCTCTGATTCCGATTCGCCCCCAGAGGAGCCTTTAGCTCACAGAACCAGGTCAAGAGTCAGATCTAGATTGGAGAAGATAGCTACGCCAGGTATATACATTTCATGTACAGTTACTTTTTAAAAAATAAATAAATCATTGTTTGTTCAATTCAGGTATAAACAAAGTTATAAATCGGTCTTAGGTGCAATGTATCACAGCTGCCTTGTTAAGTGCTGTCATCTTCGCCTTTAATTCCCGCTGACATGATGTACTTAAGATCCGAACGATAGTACGTTGACAATAGTTGCAAAAGTATTCTATCCACATAACCATAACCTCAGGAACTATATTATTAGTACTATCATATCAATTACGTTTCTATAATTGCAGGAGCTGAACGGGAGGATTCCGATGCAGAGGTCGAACGGGAAGATTCAGAAACTGTATTGAAGGAAGTACTAGAATAGTAACTGGTAACTGAACTGTAGGTCTGTAATGACACACTGTACCAGGAGCTGACTGTAATGAGAAGACGTAGATCATATATTTAGTGGAAGTACTCTAGTCTTTAGTCTCTAGTATCCGAACTGTAGATCTGTAGTGAGACGACATAATATATGATAACGCTAGATCTGATCTGATCCGATGTAAATATAACGTTAAATGACACTTTAAATCATCTGAGACTGTGAGATGTACAAAGCTGCATATAATGTAAAATAAAAGGCAAAACTACTTAAAGTTTTTTAAGAGGAATATAAAGACGCTTAGGCTGTGATTTTAGCTTGTTTATGATATAGAGATGAGAACAGAAATCGATAGTACTAGCTGATTTTTTCAAATAAAAATGTTTTTCATGTTACACGACGTGTTTTGGTTCTATCACTACTTAAAACTAAATATAAACTTAGAACAGTGGGCAGGAAAATGCAGAAGTAAAACCAATTTTCTCTTCGATTTATTAGTCCTTCCCCCTCCCTTCTGACTTTTTTTCGACCTTTCAGTTTCCACATTTAGTTATTCAGTTCTAACTTTCAAATTTCTCTTCTTTCACTACTTCAAAGAATTTTCCTTAAACGAAAATCCAATGAACAAAGCATCCATTAAAAAGGAATATAACAAATTTCGACACATCGAGAAAATAAAATGGCAAAGCAAATGTTGAAAACCTCAAATAAAGAAAACGATATATCAAAACAAAAATCCTCAACTCAAAACTAGGTAGAAATCCAGTAGAAATGTTCACACAAATAAATCAGTCAAAACATCAAAATAAAAAAGGAAAAAAAAAAACGATTGTACATTTTTCTTTGTCCGAACATTAACATTCACATTAATCATTTTGATGTTTAAAGTGTATTCAGCAGTAAGAACATTTTTTCTATTTTCTGATTGGAACTTTTCATATTCCGTATTCAACATTCGGCAGAGTTTTGAAATGATTTTGCTTTCAAATACCCAGATCAATTTTAGTGGCTCAATTTTCATGTAACCCTTATGTGTCTGATACTTATACTAATGATAAAGCAAAATATTATCTGTCAACTAAAAGAAAAGATATCATATTTTTATAATTTTATAACACGAGTTCTATGGGGAATCTCCCCGAGCTAGAAGTCACATTTTCGAAGAAAATTAATTTTTTCAAAGTTGATAAACACTTTTTAAAACCACAGTTCTACATGTAATTTTACATGTAGATTTCAAATATGATATTACTTTGATTGAATTTTGAATTTTTTAATGACGTAAATCAAGTTTATTTCTACTCGCATCTTGGTTATTGCGTTTGTTTTCTTTGTCGAACTTTTGAATCATTTTAATTCCTTTGTAGAATGCTGGTCCAAACGTTTATAACACTTTGGTTGAAACTTACTGATTGGTTTAGGCTTTAGAATATAAGCTTCCCTCACAAGTATGTTGTACACTTAAGACTTAACATATCTCAATGAATATTATACACTGAATTAAAAAATTACTAGGATTAAAAGATATATAATTGGAAAAGGATAGCCATTGGAAAATGTAAGTAATGACCAATTTAATCATTTTTAAACAAATAAGGTTAATGTCAAGCACTTTGCTTTGTTTTGATTCTTAAAGCAAATCAATGCAAAAAAGAACTCCAAAACTTTTAAAATTTTATTTAAGCTGTCAATTTGTTCATGTTAAATTTTTTAGCAATGACAAAAATATGTTAGCATGTTTTGTATTATTCCTTTCGTTCACTTTAATATAATTTACTTCATATTTCAGTTGCAATGCAAGACAATAACAACATGGATATCGATGAAGAACCGGAATGTGCCATAGTATGTTAATTTTAATAAAATATGCGTTATTATTAAATATATATGATTCAGTTATTTACAAATGCTGGAGTAAATCATTCATGAATAGCCTCATCTCAGCAATGGCTTACCAAAATTCATTCAAAACCTTAGGATACTGCAAACGAGTCTAATGAATATAAAAGAGATTGGTTACATATTATGCAAATACTAATACTTGAAAAATTATTCAGCCCCTCTCCACCTTGCATTTGTCAGTAGCTCATATTATTAAAAAAATATTATTTCATGGAACTAATTTATAGTTAAGTCAGTACAATACATAGTTTGATTATGTTCTCTAAAATTAAGTGTGCACACATCAAGCATTTTCATTTTATTTTAGATCTACGATAGTACAGCATACCATAGCCACCGTGTAGATTATCCAGTCACTGCCGAAACAATTGTAAGTATACTTGAAAAAAGTATTTTTATGACACTATTAGTGTATAATATACTGATTAATTTCCTTTATATGCATTTGCTATAATACTTTTTATTTTTTCAGGAAATGCTATCAGGCAACTTTTCGCTTCAACCACATGTTTCAGGAGGATATGTGTATTATAATAATGTAAGTTTACATTCAATAATCCCTTGAATTAACTTTTTTCTGAAAATTTATTGTGATACCTATGCTATTAGCTTTTAGACTAGACAAGTCAGCTGTAAATATATGTTTAAGAATAATATATCTATTTAGCGCTGTTTTATTTAAACATGAAATTACTTTCATTTTAGTTTCCATCTGTTCCCAATGTCACGGATGATAACAAACTGAAATCTCGTCTGCTTCAACAACAACAACTACAACTTCAACAACGACGTCTACTAGAACAACAACTACAACAACAAAGCCAATCTCATCCTCAGCAGCCACCATCACCTCCACCACAACAGCAGAGACTCCAGCATCCATCATCCTCGCAACCACATCCTTCCCCCACAACAACAACAAGCACCATCGCAAACCCCACAACAACAAACAACATCGGGAATCTATATCAGCGGAAATAATGTTCATCCAGTTTGTTTCTCAAAACTTAAATATATTTTTGACACTGGTCCATGATGATCTTCGAATCATGTACACTTATTGTTTCACCTTTAAACAATTAAGGTAGTCGCACAGCGAGCGCATCAAGGCCTAAACATTAAGCTATTAAGCTGTTTGAACTAACAATACACTTTACCTAGGAGCAGTTGCAAGTTGTTCTGTAGTTGTTTTACCTGTAAAAGTTATTACAAAGTAAAAAACAGGGCATTCAAAAGGACCCTTT